GCTAATCCGTTTCCTAGGCTATTAGGGATCTCGGTAATCCGTATATCGTTATGAAGGGCTAAATCCCCTTAGACCTGAATATTACTTATATTAGCGCTTTTTTTCGCTAAGCCCTGACCGCCGTTTTTACGGTCTTTACTATAATAGTCCTTAGACTAGTATCTCTTTTTACTATAGTTATAGTACTCCCTATCAAAGAGTTTATCTAACTTAAAGGTCTTTTAGGCGCTAGGCGTAATCGTCGATAATAAAGATTTTATCGCTTATTACTACCCCTTTAAGGTGCTTTCCGACTATTTAGCGGACGGATACCGTCCCCTCTATAATAGGTTATCCTTCTAATAGTAAAAGTAAGACCTCTTCTGGCTATTAGACCTATTATTCGGGGAGTATATCTCCTAAAATAACTACACCTCCTACGCTACCGTGTAAGCCTCTTTAAGCTTAACCCGTCGCTCGCGAAGCTTATCGCGGAACCGTGCGGGTAATCGTTAAAAGTAATTATACGTATATTCTTTGTTACTATATATCTTTTACCCTAATAGGCGATAATAGTTATCCTGTTATTCGAATAACTTTATCGGCGTTATCTCGCTAATAATATATAACTTATATAGCTCCTCCTAGTATTAGAAGTGCTATAAGTCGCTGGATAAGTATTCTCGCCGAATAAACGCCTTAAGGTTATCCTATATAGGCGATAAGAGCTTCCGCTTATAGCTCCGCTATACTATCTAGTAAGAGCGTTCTAGCTTAGTTAAAGCCTATTTAATTAGCTAGAGCACGGGGGCCTTTACCCGAAAACGCTTCCCGGCCTTAACCGCGGATACCTAGTTATTAATCTTAGTAACGGTCGTATTCTCCCCTAAGGGTTTATAGTTATAAACCAGTAGCTTCTTATATTCCCGCTTTATTACCGGTTATGTAATAAGCCTTTATAGGATAGCCTTATTTTACCTTGATATCTACTAATTAAACTCTTATTATTACTATACCTAACACGCTAGTAGGGCGAATAGGTTCTTAGTGGTTATCAGGGATAGTTCCCTTATACGGTCGGAAAACACGTAGCTCGTTAACCGTTTAGCGCTCCTTACCCGCTTAATATTAAGCCTCTGTGGACGATTATCCACGGATAATATCCGTGTTCGTATTAAACTAAGGGATAACGATAAGGCCGTATCGTTATCGTTATCCTATTAGTCCTAACGCTTTTTAGTGCTTCGAATAGGCTCTTCCTATTATATACTCGTATCCGCCCGCTCGGTGTCGGTAGTGCTTTATAGAGTCCGCTTTAGTAGTATCTTCGGCCTAGTAACCTTATAGGTATAGAAGTTAAAGAATTTATTAAGGAATAGGCTATAATACCAGGGAAAGGATATACCGTAACGGATAATACTATTCGGACTTAATAGTTGTATATTATATAGACTTTAACTTAAGGAGGAAAAGGGGACTTTTCCCCCTTTACGCTAATATAGTAATTTAGTCTCGCCGAGTATTCGGCGATCCGAGCGTATCTCCGATTCTATATAGTGCTAATCCATAGTGCCACTTAGTTTCTTATAAATAATTAAAATAAATACCGTTTAGAAGCTTCAAAATACCCTAGCCTTAGGAATCCCTTAAAGAGGTTTTCGCTAAGAAGCTTAAGGGTAGTGAGGACTATAAGATCTGCATGATAGATATACGTACCCACTTTGCCCGTAAGGAGCTTATCTTAAACGATATAATAAACCCCTACCTAATACTACCTTTCTAAAGGCAGTTTAAGACGATCTAAAGGTAGCTGGGAATATAATAGCAGCCCTTTTGGATAGACCCCTTACCTAAGTCCAGGGACTTACTTTATAAGTCAGAGTCTAGAATAAACTAAAAGATTCATACGGAAAAAGGGTTTTTTCAGCTGACTACGACGTTCTGGTCTCTATTTTTAGCCTGTGGCCTTTAAAATTCACCGCTCTCGAAGCCTTTTTATATAAGGTCAAGGAAAAGCTAATTAAAATAGGGTCGCGGGATATAAATCTCGAAAGTAAAGCGACTTTTACGTAGATTTTAGATCGCCTTAACGACCGTTAGGCTTTAGTTACTTTGTAAGTTAGATACGCTTTTCGACACGATCTATATACCTATACGCTAGATAAACTAATCGCTAACCTAATCGACGCTTCGAGGGAAGTCGATTCATCGAATACCGTACGTATTAATAGTCGGAAAATTTATAAAGGTTCCCAGGGCAGTCAGAAAAAGAAGTAGCCGTAGTATTAGTAGGGGAACTAATAGAATTAATAACAATAATAGAGAAACCCTTTTTACTCGAACTATAAAAAAAAAGAATATATAAAACTAAACTGCTATTTTCTTTACCCTAAAAAAGCCCCTTAAGGCTAGGGTTCTGAAGATCGTTCCCAGGGCAGAAAAGAGTTATAAAAATGGATAAATAAAACCCAGCAGTTAACAGGCTATAATAGGCCTTAAAGTCCTTAATAGCTTCTTTGAAATTAGAAGATCGATAATATAATGAAAAAGGTTAAAACTCTAATCGTTTAAAAAAAGACAAAGTCTATCTTCTTGGTTTATAGAAGCAATAGAAAGATCTTTATTAGGCCTGTAAAGCTTAAATGGAGTCGTACGAAAAACGGGCCTTCGAAGAAACCGACAAACGGTTAAAAGAGATTTCTTTTAGCGATACCCCTCTTCCCTCACCTCCTTGGATTCCTAGGCCTATATAGTCTAACCTATAAGCTAAAGATGCTATAGGACCTAATCAGGTATTTATCCTCGATTAAAATAAAGTTCTAGTTAATACTAACCTTAATATAAGTCTACTAGTTAAAAAGGTGAATACAATTCAACAGATAGCTAATATAAATTAGCTCTAAGCTTCTATATCGAGAGTAGACCTATGGCTCACGTTGTATCCAATAAATCACTCTATTCTACTTATAATACTACTACCAGAACAGCCAGCTAGGGTCAAGCTAATAGAGTAAATATAACCGGTACTAGAGACTATTTTATAAACTTTAACGATACTGGAAAACTACTACTACTATAACGCTATTTATATATTCCAGAACCAGACATAAATATCATCAGTCTACTAGTCCTAGATAAATAAATTAATATACACGGTCTCTCCAGGAATACTAAACTAATTTTATTCTATAATAATAATACTAATAATAATAATAGTAATAATAATAATAATAATAATACTAATAATAATAATAATAATACTAATAATAATAATACTAATAATAATAATAATACTAATAATAATAATAATACTAATAATAATAATAATACTAATAATAATAATAATACTAATAATAATCATAAGAATAATAATAATAATAAGAATACCCCTAACCTTTATATTACTGCCCTACTATATAATAGGCTATACTGGGCTCAGGCACGGGCCTAGACGTACAGGGGTATTAGGGTCGTCACGGCCCTTATAGCTTCCTAGGTCTTCTATAAATATAATAGAAAGAAAGGTTATTTTAGATAAAAACCAGTTATAAAGAAAAGAATAAAGAGATCAGGAAAGGGACCTATAGTTATAATAAAGAATAGAATAAAGAGACCGAAATAACCATGGAAAAGGAACCACTATAAAGCTCGGTGCTAAGGATATAGTTAAAGTTTCTACTAATACCTCCTTTACCGATAATACTATTAATCGGAAGAGTAGCCAGGCGTTTATAACCCGGTTATTCGGTGGTACGATTACCTAAAGCGCTAATAAGCAGGATACCATTATAATATTAATAATAGAGACAGAGCTATTAATGTTAGTATAAGGTGCAAAAGGGGGTATCTTTATGTAACAGCTACTATTGGGAATAGGCATTGAATTTAATAATCCGGAACTAAAGATTCTATACGATAATAATTAGACGATACGCCGTATTAACTAAGAAATTAGCAGACTAATAACGTGTTTTACGGCATATAGATATCGATAACCACTAGTTACGGGAAGTAAAGGCGCGTAGAAAGATCCTGATTATATACGTCGCGAGCGTCGAAATAATAGTGGACGGATTAACCAAGGCGTTATTAGGCGAGAAGCTTATAACTTTTAGAGCCTAAGTAGAAGTAATAAATATAAAGAACCCATAATAGCAAAAAATACTAGTAAAAGTCTTAACGGATTATCTAGAGAAATTAGAAACCGAATTTACGAGCGGTTATAGCAGAAAGGTTATATCGGTTAGTTCCGAATAGCTTTAATCGTATAACAAGGATTTCAGTATAATTAGAGCGTATATTAAGCTGACCGTAGCTTTTACTGTTACGTAATAGACCGGCTTTAACCCAGATTATAATCTCGGTTAATCGAAGTAGACACATACAGAACCTACACTATATATATCACGGTGGCAGCGGTTTGCTAACAGTCCTACACAGTTACAATTATACAGAATTACCTTAATGTATTCAACCTGTAATTTTAATCCTATTTTTAACTGTTCCGGTTACGCTATATCTAATACCCTTAGGTTAGGGGCCGTAGTAGTCCTTTTTCAGTCCTATATCCGTTTCGCGTATAGCCCTGCCCTAAAAAAAAGGCCCCGGGGGGGGGGGGGTCGGAGGGCGCCTATTCTATAAAAAGTAAGGCCACCGAAAATTTTACAAGGTTAAGGTTAGGATAACGCCGCTTATCGTGTTTTCCGGTTCTACTATAGCGCCTACGGTATAGTGCCTCTATAATAGTATCCTAGGCGGAAGGCGGGAGGTAGTAGTTATAATTATTATCCTAGTAGTTTTATCGATTTTTCCTATATTATACGCGATGTCTTCGATCACGGCGTTTTTTAGCGTGTTGATTAGCTTACTTTATATATAAGTCTATATTTGTAAAAAATTATTATTATTACTTAATATACGGTTAAAATACTATAATATTTTATAGCTTTTATAAAGTTGAGATACTGTTCTATATAAAACTATATTTAACTGATTTAAAAAGTAGTTTGTAGAATATATAGAGCTGGTTAGTAGCTTAATTGTTGTAATAAATTATACACTAGTTCTCTACTCTCCTCGCGTCGCACGAGGCTTCGGATGCCTAGTCGGCGACATTGGACTTCAACAACTTCTTCTGCCTTCCAATGTTTTCCCAGTATGACCATCACTGGATAGCCCACAAGATCTGCGTCTTTCATCTTCCAGGGCAATGAAACTGCTCTATCATCCAAAACCACGTCTATCACCTCAGACCTAGAGGTATCGCTGATCATGTCATACATTTTTGTTCCATCCGTTGTAAGGTCTGGGGCAGAAAGAATGGCCACTTCGAATGGGGCAATGGCCCGGGGCCATTGTAAACCACGGTCATCCACCAAGTGTTCCGCGATTGCGCCAATAAGACGCGAAACCCCAATCCCGTAGCAACCCATCTGGATCGGTGCCTGTCGAGGAATGGATGATGGCGTTTCGTCGGTTATGGGATCGGCATTTCCTGGCAACGATATCGTCGCCCCCAGCGGTTCAGAATATCGCGTTCCTAAGTGGAAGGTATGCCCAATCTCTAGAGCTTTCTCAACCTTAAGCTCGCCTGCACAACACCGAGGACATCTGTCACCATGTGAAACCCCCAGAAGGTCCAGAGGCGTACCGTCTTTGGCCTCCCCAACAACGATTTGCTGCAAATGAGCGGCGTCTGGTACATTACTGCCCCTTCCATCGCGGATACGGAAATCAGGGTCAGCTGCCAACCTGTGGTCTATCAAGTTCAGGACCCGTGGGTTCATCGCGTCGCTTCTGTGCTGGATGGGGTCATGAGACCAGCGTCGTACTGTTTCAGCCCACAGCGTCAGAGGACGGTCGACGCTAGAATCCAACTCTGGGACCACAGTTTCGATAGCACGCAGGCTCACGCCAGCAAGGCCATCACTGCCTGTTGTTCGCGAGAGTTGTATCGGAACCCATGCGTTCACGAGAGTCTTCCGATCTTTGCTGATTCCTCTCCAAACTTGCCAGTCAATGTCACGCCAGGCATTGTTGTGGTTGAGTAGAAGAGGACTCGCGGTTTGACCCTGGAGAATCTCATCATTGGCCGCATAGTCGCACTGGCTGCATGTCACGATTAAATCATCCCCAATGGAGGTGGGCAAGTGATATTCGTGGCTTAAGCTCCCTCCCATATCGCCGGAGTTCGCTTCAACTTTTACGAAAGGTAATCCGAGCGACGTGAAGAACTTTGTGTAAGAGTTTTGGACTTGGGCGTATGTGTGTTGCGCGGAATCGGTAGTCGCATCGAAAGTATAGAGATCCTTCATTGTGAACTCTCTGGTGCGTAAGAGGCCGTGCCGAGGACGCATCTCGTCGCGATATTTGCGAGCTATGAGCATGTCAACCAACCACATCCTGTGACACTTGCACATCAGTGACAACACTAACTGATCTGATAAAGTCTTAATGGAAGCTCCCTGTAGGAATGGATAGATTGCGCCACCAACGCCGTGACTTCTTCCTCGTGAGTCGGGGAAAGCAAGTATTCAGCGCCTTTGCGATCTCGAAAATTGAAGACCTGGGTGTTGGGACTGATGATGAGTTGCGTTTCTTAAGCAAAGGGGGACAATACAAACCTCCGAACTAAGCTGTGAGAATCGTCCACTCTGCTCCCATAGCTGTTTTGACGTAATGGAGGAAAGGGATATCCTCGACGCTCCTACACGCTTTATCTCAGCATATATTCCACCTCAAGTCTTTCCGCATGGCTTCCATACCAAGTCCTCGCATATGATAATCCAGAAGTCGTTCCAATTTGTCTTGCACTCGGCGGCCTAGAGGGAGCATGTGATAGATGCCAGCGTGGGACTAATATCACGCGATGAGGAAACTTAGTTTGGAAAACCACTTATTTGGCTGTCAAAGGCGAGGAAAGATGCTTACCTGGCGCAGGAAACCGGCCCGGGCCAGTTTTCCGTGTGCATCTTCAAATGTCAGCTCGCAAGGAGTCTTAGAATAGGAAGATGGAAAAGACAAACCTTCATTGGGGCTTGCTGACTTGATTTCCTTCGGAATCCAGATGCTGGAGAGGCATTGACGGTGCGAAGTGGAGTGAGCCCTCCATTGTAATGGCTCAAAATGGTCGTCAACAAATTCTGTTTCACTCGCCGAAGTAAAGGGAAAGATAACTTACATTGTAAGATCGTCTTGTCGTCGGGGCATAAAGAGCAAAAGTCGGGGTTGATGCCGAGGGTAGGGGTTTGCGAACTGCGATGGGAAAAGACATGTCTGAAAGGGAACTGGTTGCAAATCCCGTTCGTATGTAATCGCTTGCCCGATAGCTGTGAGGTCTCTGCACAGATTAGAGCTGCTGCTTATACCTCTAGGGGCCAATATCGAGCCTGGAGCTCCTGTCGCACAGACCTCCCTCAGGGGTGGAACAATGTAGCGGCCGATTACGGGTTTGGGCACGGAAGGTGGATAGTATAGGAGCGATCATATATAGGGTGTGAAACGGTCATGTATATAAAGCTATCTAGAATCGGCCTACGGCTTGGTATACGGCTTATGGGTCAGGTCATGTGACCTGCCCAGGAACGGAAGACTTATTGCATCCTTATAAGGACCCGTAGCTAGAAGTTAGCTTCTTCCTATCGCACAGACCTCCCTCGGGGGTGGAACAACCTAACGGCCGTTTTTGCGGTCAGGGACGGATGGTAGATATCCGTAGGATTTCGGGGATCAAATTCGCCCCCTAGAACTAGACGTGCGGTGACACGTTTTCAGGCGTTATACGGCTTAAATATACAAAATTTTAAACCACTTAATCTGACCGTTCTTATCGTATTTACTTTATTACGGTTACGCTATATTTAATAATTAAGTGTCTTAGCTTTACTATATTTACCCTTATTCTATCCACCTTTTAAGAGCCTTTTAGCCAGGCCATTATAGCGAGATAATAACCGAAAAACCTTATAGTTTTAACCTATAAAAACTTAATCGGTAAGATAGTCGAGACCCCTAAGGCTGTTTATACTAGCTATATCGACTGGGAATCCTGGAACCGTTAGTTTACGATATTAGCGAAAATATCGGGGTCTGGATCTACCTACGACCTAAAAGCCCTATTGTAGAACTAACCTACCCTGAAGCTCTAAAATATACTAGCTACCCTGTAATAGGCTATTCGTAACCTTACCTTTTAGATAAATTTAACGGCTATAGGAAGAGCAGCCTACAGTTAAGATTTCGCAGAATTTAAACTGAAAACGTACGCGTTTAAACGATACGAATAAGGGATAGAAGCGGTGGCTATATAGCTTATTACCTTTATCGCGCCCTCGAGGTATAACGCCTTTTTCGGTAGCGATAAGCCTATTAAGGTTTATAAAGCTATAAAAACCGATACGGCAGGGTATATCGTAAACCGAAAGAAAACCGCTATAAACGAGAATTAATAGCACCTTAGCAAGCCCCCGAATAACCTTAAAAAGATTAACAAATGGATAGATTAGTGGTGCGATCTTATCGTCGCCTATTACCATAATAATGCCTTCGAGGACCCTAACGTATAGGTAAACGACTTCTTTAAGGCTATAAGCCCCCTTAATACTACCTGGATTCACGTAGTAGAAAAGATTTTTAATACTAAATACTTGACGCCTACTATGTTACTGTCGGAAGTAAAGCAGTATACCGAAAATCCCGCTATAACGTAATCCGGCAGATGCCACCGCGAGGCAGTCTTCCCTACCTTTAATATAGAGGAGGAAGGTAAAGACGTATAGGCCTCTTCGTCGTCAACGAAAAATAGAGGTAAGGGCGGCTATGGCCGTGGCCGAGGAAGAGGAAAAGGTAATAATTCCGTCTCCTCGTTAATAACCCGTAATTTATTAAAAAGACGGTAATCCTACTATAAACGCACCGAGGGATACCCTGCGTGCTTAATCCCGGGATACTCTCTCGAGAATTACTAGTATATATTCTCGAACTAGGCTAATTCAGAGTAGAATCCGGGAACTACTATAAGCTACGTGGTAAGCAGGCTTCTTAAGAGTGATTCTGACCTAAAGAAAGCCGTGACCGAAATAAAGGCACGGAAAAAGAAGGTGAACTAAGGGTATACGGCCTCCCTTGAGGAGGCCTGACGGGTGCTGGACGAGGCCGCCTATAGCGCCTATAATAGCGCCGGACGGTAGATTTCTCGCTAAGGTCCCCGTAGCCCCGTTATCTGCAGGTGCTATAGATTGCCCTTTTCGAAATTCGGCTATCCTGGATTCCGGAGCTATTATTTATATCTTTAACGATATTACACGTTTTACTAAATATAGGCCTATAATAGGAGGGGATTACGTTATCGTAGGCGGTTTAGCCCTGCCTATCTAAGGCTTCGGTACTATAATTGTGCAGATGGAAGGAACGACCAGCAGCTTTAATTTCAAGCTCCTTAATATCGCGTACTACGAGGATTTTGCCTATAATTTAATCTTAAACTAACGCCTCCGTAATAAAGGATACTAGTAGGATTAACGGTTACTAAACGACTATATACGGCGTGCTAACGGATTAATCCTATATAAGAAAAGTCACCACCACGATTAAACCGTTATTGAATGCGTGCCTTTTAACGATATTAATACTCCTGCTACTGCTTTTCTAGGTCCGCGTGCCCGAAGTGCGGTATTACCTACTAGTAACGCCGAGGGTATACTATAGTATCTACGACTAGGGCATACCGGCTCTAAACCGCTAAAGTACCTAAAAGAGTAGTCGTAGGGCGTTAAGGTCAAAGGTCTAATACCCGTGATTTACGATAGTGATACGTACGCTAAAATCACCCGATAAATCAGCCGATAGCCGTGTACGGCTTCTACCTATGCTAGAGAACGGTGGGTAGTAGATTTTACCGATTTTACCAGGAATACCAATAACGATATTAGGGTTATATTCTTTACGGACCGATATAGCGGCTTTATCGTAACCTATATTATAAAGTCGAAGAGAGCGGAGGATATTTACACCGTTATACGGGAGTTTCTGCTATAGTCTAAGCGATAGTTTAATTAAAAAGTCCGTGTATTTAAGAGTGATAATAAGCTAAGATAATCCAATAAAATCCAGGGCTTATTAAGGGATTTTAGTATCTAACTTAAGTTCTCCTTAGCGGAGACTTCAGCTTAGAATAGCAGTGCCGAATACTCCGTCGGCGTTATTATCGCTAAAAGCAGGGCGATAAAAATCTATACCTATCTATCTGACTACGTATAGTCCCGAATCATGCCTACGAGGGTATACTTATATAATCGCACCCCTGTTTAACGGCTTAACTGGCGTTCCCTATACCACGTTCTTTTTAGCCGTAAACCGATACTATTATACCATAAAGCCTATGGTATAAGGCGTTTACGATAACTAGAGATACCCTAACGGCATGTCATAAGCTAAAGAATCGGCTTGCGCCACGTACTTATATCGGGCATCTAATTAGCTATAATTCCACTAATATCTTCCATACCTAGGTGCCCGGCCTATAACATAACCGCGTAGTCCGCACGCGCAATATACTCTTTAACGAAGCGTAGTTCTTTGATAGTAATATCGCCACCTTAAAGAATAACCTGTTATATATAACTAAAGAAGAACCAACGGAAATCGTAAACTAAATCCGGGTGCCAGAGGATAAGAACCTCCCTCCGGGAGCCGTGTAGATCTATCCCCCGACAGATAAGAGACCCCTACCGGGCGGCCGGTAGTATATCCCTTCCCCGGCGGATAAGAACCTCCCGCCGGACGTGCCGTAAAAGCCAAGCAGAACGGGGGTAAAGGCTATAATGCCGGCGCCGGATCCTATGATTATAAGGGCACTTAATCACCGATCCTCGTAACTAATAATCAAGCTACTAACTTTATTAGATACCCCTCCCTTAATAGTTCTCCTAATAGTAGCGGTATTCACGGGTATAAACCCTATAGCAGTGCGAGGAGATAGTAGTAACGATAGCACTTAGATCTCGGCTTTTAACGCCGGCCGACACGGCCAGTATACTTATATATTGGATAGTAAGCTACTAATAAGACTAAAGATCAGGAAAACGCTTATATAACCGTAATAACGACTATTAGAGCCGGCGGCTCCCACGGCCTTACCGTGGCGCTGGCGGTTCCTGCCACCGGGAAAATCCACTAGCAGGAACTACCGGCGCCGCCAAGAGACTAATATACCCTTAAGGGGTATCCCCATGCAGAGCTATTCCGGTAAGTGTAACGAGACTACCTACGGAGTCACCGGGAGATAGGATCGTGGATTACGGTGTCTAAGGCTACTATAGCTAAGTATTGGGTCCTTGATTATATATAGTTGATAACGTATGAATACGATAGATATAGTTTTCTATGTAGATATAAGGCACGTCTCGTGGTGCGCGGAGATTAATAGTATCGTGATTCCCTTAACGATACCTACGCGGATATACTTACGGGATGCTTATTCCGGGCGTTAATAGCAATTACGGCCCGTTTTAACCTTTCCCTGATATAATATAATATTATTAACGGGTTTATGCACGCCCCTTTTCCCCACGATATCTTTATAAGCGGGCTACTAGGTTATAGAGATTCGAAGAGATACCTACTACGAAAAAAGAAACTGTATAGTCTTAAGGAATCTCCCCTGCTATGGTAGAGCTATATTATTAAAGTGCTCCTTAAGCATGGGTTTAAAATAGTGCAGTAGGAACCTTGTTATTTTCTGCGGCGCGGCGTTATCCTGTTCTTCTACGTTAACGATATCGTTATTACTTATAAGGACTAGTATATGGGTAAAATAGAGCGTGTTATTAATAACCTTAAAAGGCACTATGGCCTATAAGGGGGCGGACCTCTATCGTAGTTCCTCGGTATTAAGGGTATTCGCCATCGTGCCATACGTCGGATTTAGCTATTATAACGCGACTATATCGCTAAGCTAGAACGACTGTTAGACCCTGGAAAAGGAAGCTCTTACCGCCCTATGTACCTTATAAAAACCGCAGAACTAATGCCTTATAACGGCAGTTCCACGGCCGTTAAAAGCTATTGACGCAAGATAGGATCCGTGCTATACGCTATCGTGATATCGCGGCCGGATATAGCCTTTACGATATCGCGGCTATGCTAATTCAATACTAGCCCCGGGGAAGTATATTATAATACCGCTGACTATTTAATTCGATATCTGCTAGCTACCTAAACCTACGCCCTGGAACTAAGGAGTAAAGATATAATTAAGGTATATACTAATACCTTATTTACTGATAATACAGTAGATTGGAAGAGTAGTTAAGGTCTCGTAATACGCCTCTTTAAAGGCATAATTACGTGGCGCGCTAGCAAGTAAGCAATAGTCATAACGTCTATAACGGAGGCAGAACTATTATCTCTGGTATACGGTACCAAGGAGGGTATCTTTATATAACGAACGCTGCT